TATGAGTTATGATTAAATTCAGAACCGTGAAAATATACATTTAATCCTACCTTTAATTCATCGAACAGATGTCGTGCAACTCAAAAGTTCGGCTGGAATTTTACTTAGTGTTGATATTTATATATACTTCAGGTTTGGGACTTCAGTTTTGCCCAGGGGGTAAAATTCCAGGGGGATAAAAATCCGCTACCCCCTCATTAACAATCAATATTATTAAAATAGGAAATAAATCTGAACATTTTAATGGAAAGGAAAGTAGGTAAGTATAGAAATTCGTTCAGTTTGCAGTGTTTAGCAGGGGAATTTAAGAATACTTAAAAGCTTGGTCACTGTACTGGGGTATGAAAATATTTACTCCATTTTAAATCTAGAAAAATAGATTTTCAATTTATATTGCTTTGGTTTAGAGCACACTAGACCACAAGTTTTATTTTCATTCTTTTAACAAATTAATGTATGTTCATAAATTTGAATTTTAATTAACTGTACGTGATTATAATATATCGGGTGTGACCTCTGTCTGCAACAACTGTACCGATTAATAATATAAGTTATTAAATCGATAGATATACAGCATCTAAAAATTCGATTTTTTTATAAACACTCAGTATATTCACCCACTCACAGCGAAGAAGAAAATTTCCCTGAAAACCTTGAATTACTGCGTACTACAACGTCAACAGGTACGATACGTAAGGTAATGTAGTTACTCAAAATATGAAAGTTACAACACTTTTTTACTTCAGTTATTCATTTATACAGAAGGTCTGCTTGGTTGAAACCTGAGGTAGATTATCTTTTGTTTAAGTTACTCTTTAACTGGGCATATTGAAAATTTTGAACCGGTTTTATAATAAAGTTGGTTTAAGTTCTATTTATCATCATGTAGAACAAAAGGTTTTAATACGTGTCTTAGCATAAAATAAAATATCAATTGTAAGGCTAAAAATGTGACCAATGGATTTTAACCCTTTGCTCGTTTATTACCTTATCACCGGTTCTTCACTTTTTATCCCATGGGGGATTGATGGCGTCATTAGAAACATAAAATCACTTATTATGCTTACTATATAACATTACCAAAGAAAGTCAGTATATTTTGGCAATAAGCTAAACAACCCAACTATTAACATTAATAATTAATGCTCCATTAAAAATAAAAATAAGATTTTTAAAACACATTGTATAATAAAATGTGACACTTTTAATTTCCACTGACATATTTTGTACTGTCATGTTGGTAATGCATATTTCAACTTTCATCCAGTTACAGTTTGTTTTGTTTTGTTTGTTGTCTTGTCTTGTCATTTCATGAATGGACTTTTGTAAATACTAACCTAATTCGCTATGATGACCCTAAATTGAAATGATTGATATTGGAAATTCATAACTTTATTGGCTGAAAACAATCAGTAAGTATTTTACCTCATAACGGTCTTATAAGAATTGAGCTTGTTTAATAATTAATATAATTTGTGTCTTATGATAGTCTATCTGTTAAATACTGAATCTTCTACCTAGGCTATCGTAATCAAAATTTCTTATTCAAAGTACAGAAGTATTTGCATAAATAATCTTAGCATAAAGTTAACATAGGCCTATCTTTCATGTAACTTAATTGGTGGACACCACTGTGCTTACTATGCAATAGAATAAGCTAAGGCATTTAATTTATTACAGCCTAAAACAGAATTGTAGATTTCATCAGTTGGTTAGCCTATTTTTACTTTGATAGTATAATAGTAGGTTAAAGGCCCATTAATATATTACTTAAATTTATGCCAGTTGTTCGTAGGATCCATCTAGCTCATTAAATCCATTATTTTTTTGTTGGATCATCAAGGAATCATTTAGTTAAAGGACCTCTACCTGTAGCTTCTCTATATGTAGGCACAGAAGTTATGCTTCTGCTACAAAAAATGCATTCAGCAATGTCACTGCAGGAAAAAAACAAAACTCTTTTGATTTGAACAATAAAAACGATGACAAAACTACTCCTGCTAGACGGAGTGTTGGCAACACTGAAAATAGGAAAAAAGCAAAATCCAATTCCAATGTTGTAATCGGAACTTCTGATGAAACGAAATAATAGCTGCTGGACAGAAGAAAACCTGGATTTTTGTAGGCCGATTAAAGGGAGATACAACTACCGAAGCTGTTAGTGACTTTGTGAAAAAGTCATTTCCTAACATTGCAGTGACTGCAGAAAAGCTGGAAACTAAGGGGTTTAATGCAAGTTTTCGACTCTCCGTTGACTTTGACCGAAAGGATGAGCTAATGAACCCTGCCATATGGCCTAAAAACACCTTGGTGAAGCGTTTTTTATTCCGCCGAGTGGGGAACAAACCTCACACGTAGTGAAAGCAGACGACTCGCCCAAGCCTATTGAGGAAAATAGCACTCACACCATTGTAATCTATGGCAAGCACCAAGATAGGCCTATTACTATTTGTGCTCTTAATGTCCAGTGCCTAAGGAATAAAAGTGAACTTGTGTCCCTTTTTGTAGAAGAAATCAAATGCGATATCCTTTGTGTCTCAGAGCATTGGCTAGCAAATGGCGAAGAGTGTTATTACACAAACTTAGCTAACCTCAATCTTGTAAATATTTTCAGTAGAAGTGAAAGACTCCATGGTGGTGTTGCTATTTGTAGTAACTGTGACCTAGCATGTAAACAAATAGACACTGTGAGATTCTGTGTAGAACTCGAACTTGAAGTGACTGCAGTCCTGTTGTTGGACTTCTCAATTGTTGTGCTGTCTGTGTACAGATCCCCAGACGGTAAAGTGGATCTCTTCCTTGATCTGCTGAACTCCTGCTTACACTACCTGCTAAACAATCTTAAACCTGAGAAAATAGTCCTATGTGGAGACTTCAATATTCACCTCGAGTGTCGCTCCAGAGATGAAGAACTTTTCTCAAACCTACTTCGCAGCTATGGGCTATACTTCACTACCAGACAACCCACTCGTGGGCAGGCGTGCCTTGACTCCATAGCAACTAACATTGACTCCTGGGACTGGAAAGTGGACATCAGGGAACCTGTTGTGGCTGACCACAGTGCAGTTTTGGTTACTATTAGCTCCAACAAGGTAAGCCTCAGCTTAAATAAACCTGATTGGTCTATAAAGTACGTTAGTGTTAAAAGGGCCATTAATGACAATGATATGCCTCTATTGTGCCACAAATTGTTCAATGCTTGTTGAACCGTACCAAATGTTCGTTCCGAACCTGAGGTAGAATTTAACCACTTTTTTGACATTTTCATAGAAAATTTTAACCAAGTTTTTCCTCTCAAAGTTGTGAAGGCTAAGCCCCGTTTAACCAACAAATCCCAACTTGATAAATCCTGGTACACCCAGGAACTGGCCAAATTACGTTCTTATATCTGTATCTTACATGATTTCTATAAGACGTCTACTGTTCCTGAACGGAAAGAAAGACTCCATATCTTGTACCTCCAAACTAAAAGACTTTATCGCTCTAAAGTAAATGAAGCAAAAAAAAGCTACAATGTGTCTAAAATAAAGGAGGCGTCCAACACCTGGAAAGCAGCATGGGACATTGTAAATTCTCATCGGTCTCCTAGACCTAAGACTGTAGCAGCTGTTTCTCCTGACGATTTCAACAACTATTTCTCCCAAATTGCTGATAATGTTGTAGTCAGTCTACCTGTTTTGCAGACTGACCCAGCGGCTTCCCTCCTGGATGTCTCATCTGTCTACAAATTAAACCATTGGAATAAGGTGAGCCCTAGCTTTATTATTAAACTTGTTAGAGGGTTTAAAAGCTCAAATAGCCAGGATGTTTTTGGTGTCTCCTGCTCAGTACTAAAGGCTGTTGTTAACACCATTGTGGATCCTCTCACGGATATTATCAACCACTGTTTGAGAAACGGCTGTTTCCCTGATGTGCTTAAGACTGCGCGGGCCATCCCTGTTTTTAAAAAAGGTGACCCCTCACAGCTGTCTAACTACAGACCTATTGCCATTCTGCCTGCTCTCTCCAAAGTAATTGAGTCTGTAATGAAGGTACAGCTGATTGAGTATTTTGAGTCTAATAGCCTACTTATAGATGCCCAGCACGGCTTTAGAAAGGGACGATCCACCACGACAGCCCTGGTTAGCCTGGTCGACCAAATCACAGATGCTTTTGAAGCCAGAGATTCAGTCCTGCTTAACATGTGTGACTTAAGCAAAGCTTTCGACGTGGTGTCCCATGAAATCATATTGTCCAAGCTCAGGAAGTATGGGGTAACTGGCGTGGTCCTGCAGACAATTAACTCTTATCTTGAAGGTCGTAAGCAAGTAGTCTCGTACGGCGGTGCAACATCTGGTGTAAAGCTGTTAAGACACGGAGTCCCCCAGGGCTCAGTCCTTGGCCATCTCCTCTTTACTATCGTTATAAATGATTTATCCAAACAATCAAACCTTGCTATTTGCAGACAACACCACTCTGATCACGAGAGGCAGGGACCTAAACCAAATACGCACTGATGCAGAATGCCTTCTTGCTAATGCAAAGGAGTGGTTCAACCAGAATTTGCTAAAGATAAATGACGAGAAGACTCAATCACTGCTGTGCACACTCAGGCCAAACTATCTGGGTGAGGAAGCTGTTAAACTCCTTGGCTTCTGGATCGACTCCAGGTTAGGTTGGAAACACCACATTAGCCAGGTATGTGTCAAGCTTGCCAGAGTGGTCTATCTCCTAAGGAAACTTGTGTTGGTCATCACTAAACCGTACTTAGTCACAGTGTACCATGCTCTCTTTCAAAGCCATGTCAGCTATGGCATTGCTCTGGGGCCATACAGCTGCAGCACATGACATCTTGCTTCTTCAGAAAATGGCTTTGAGGGTGATTACGTCCGCCGGACATCGTGACCACTGTAGACCTATCTTCAAAGACCTAAAGGTTCTGACCATCTATAGCCAGTACGTATAGCATGGTGCTACTTAAAGAAAATTCGACAAAACTTGCTCGACGTGAGGACCAGCATTCCTATCAAACACGACATGGCCATCTCCTTGACCTACCTAGATGCCGACTAGCCTGGACTCAAAAGGGCTACCCCTACTACACAAGTAAGCTGTTGATGATGATGTCTCCGTGATTGCAGCCCACGGGAGATGTTCACAATTTATTTTCTGCAATCACCTATTCAACTGTATTTAAGCTGCAATCACCAGGAATTTTCTCCTTAGGGGTGGGGGCCGCTCGATTAATTGGACCTAGGGCCGCAGGTACCCTAAATCCAGCACTGCATACCTAACCTAACTTAACATAACTTAACCTAACCTAACCTTGATTTCACAAAAAGTCTGTCATTTTTGGCATCTTGCTAACCTAAGCATGGGTTAGGTCAGGTTGCGTTAGGTTAGGTTGGATTATATTTAGTTTGTTAGAGGAGTGGGCCGGGCATTTTCTGCACTTTGCATTTTTTAATGATTTTTCAAACCTGATTTTCCGGGTAAAAACGGCAGATGCCGAAAAAGTGCTAGAAAGGAAAAGTGTAAAAAAATGTCCTAAGTATTAGTAAAAATACATTAAAAGTATATAAAAAAAACAATTTTTGGCACTCTGCGATTTTCAAATGTTATTTTCAGGGTGAAATAGGCGTTTGCCCCAAAAGTGTCAAGTGTAAAAAGTGTTCAAAATAGGTCAAATAATGAAAAAAACATTTTTTTTTTAATTTGTCATCCTTAAAACCTTTTAACTATACTAAGTACCTGGCAGTCACTCACCTCTATCCAGTGTGTAAGGGTGTGTATGTGTGAGATGTCAGTTATGTTTTCCAGAGGGTCCATGTGCTGTTACAGAATTAATTAATTCAATTAATTCTCAAAGCCAACTCTTGACTCTGAGGAGGAAGAATTTGATATCCTATAGGCCTATATCTTTCAGCAACAAAGCCTTTTAGCGAATTTCCCATATAGGGAATAAGCTATTTTGTCTTTGGTAGGCCTAAATGCTCCTAAGCTGGTGACACCAGCAATTCAAGGTAACTTAGACCAAATCTGAACTTTCTGGACTTTTCTTTTAGTCTTCCTAAACCATTCCTACGTTCCTAAAACGCAATAAAATACCTTAAACCATTTGTTAAGGTGTGTAGGTTATAGCTTTGTTATAGTTAATCAGGTTGTTTATTGATGTTACGCCTACATTGTTTTTTATCTTTTGGAATTAATGGTTAATCGACAAGACAATTAAAAAAATTCAAGTATTTTTCAAATTCTCTCGTCGTCTAACCAACACTTAATGCAGTCGTGAATCCGCATAAACCCCCTACCTGCCTTCCCCACATGCCTAAATAAGATCATTGTTTTGTTTCAACCAAAGCAGATCTGTATCTCTTCTTGTTCCTTGGTGTGTGTGATGTGCTCCGCGCATTTAGAAAGTAGTTCAGTACTTTTCCGCAATTTGCAGTGGTTTCCGCTTTTTAAGGTACTGGTAGTTTATTGTTTATTAGGATCTTAGGAAAGGTTTAGGAAGGTTTAAAAGTAAGGTCCAGAAAGTTCAGAAACAGGTCCATCCAAATCAATAATAATTTAAAAACTAGTGAAATTCAAATAGCCTACTTAACATAAATCTTCCACACATAACCTAGGGTGACATTCAATGACGACAAAACTCGCTACAAAATTTCTCCAACGTCTTGCTCATGTTTTATTCAGCCTTGTCTAATATGTTATTTAATTGATTCCTCCCAACATCGAATAAACCCTTAAGACGGTGTGACGAGGACTACCTAGCTCATCAAGGCATTTAGTGGCGCAGTCTCCCTCCAGCCAATCTACAGATGATTTTGCGGCTGCGAGCACTAGTGTCGCTTTTAGGCTTTAGTGGCACTCCTCCTGGCTGGCCAAGAGTGACAAGGTGGCTGAATAGACTACGGTAACAAGTTGCATTGACGATTTGTAAATGATGAGGTCGTTCTAGTTATTCAAGTTTTATTGTCATTAGGCATCTAGGCTATTAATGCACTTGGAATGATCTTTGCACTAAATGCTTCCAAGTTCTTTCCAAGTGCATTAACAGATGAAATCCTGGAATTTTACTTTCACCAAAACTAGGTATTTCACAAAACTAATCATAATAACCAATAAATGTAAGGGTTCTTGGTATTTAACTCTCAAATATTAACTGTAAAAAGTTAAATGCATGTAAGGTAAACGCACCAGTAGCTGACAGTATAAGAAACTATACGCACTTAATAATCCGTGGTTTTGAATAAATAGGAACTAAAGAGATATTACGGATTTTATGTGATTCTAAATTTAGTGTAGTTTTCAAATTTGTCATACAAAAAGGGTTTTTTAAATATATTTTATAACATTTTTAAACTTAATTCAACCTTTGTACGTGTTCCAGTGGCTGACAGTGAAAAAAGTGCTTGTACCAGTAGCTGACAGTCAGTTGTCCCAGTAGCTGACACTGGAACTTAAATGTATTAGCTGCTAAACCTAAAGGTTTTATAATTTATAAGACGAATAAAATCTAACTTAATAATTAAATTATAAAATCACATAAAACGTTATTAAGAAAATTTATTTTACATATTTTAAAATAAATAATATTTACATTAAAATATATATACAGGGTGACAAAAAAGTCTGGAAACGGCTTGATATCTTTTTAACTAAATTCGTTTGAAAATTCAAACTTTTCACATCAACTTATATGTATGATAACTACTTTTTGCAAGCATTACCATTTTTTGACCTCTACCAGGGGACGACCCATGAGGAGTAGGTACATAATCTTTGATGTAAGCATAGGTTGATATGCACATCATTTTAAAGGTCTGGTCCAGTGGAGTTCATTGCCGGAAACCGCGTCAAAAAAGGTTCATCCGTTACAAAATGGCGGCTGTCCAAAGTTCTTGCGGAATATACCTACAGAGGCCTTAGTATTGGTAAATACTCATATTCAACATTAGCCGGGAAATCTGAAACTCGGTAAAATTTGTTTTGAAGATTTTATAATATTAATCTATGAGCTAGTTGACTTAAAAATTCAGTTTCAGCTTTCAAGCTTATGTTTAATACGAGTATTTACCAATACTAAGGCCTGTGCGGGTATATTCCACAAGAACTTTGGACAGCCGCCATTTTGTAACGGATGAACCTTTTTTGACGCAGTTTCTGGCAATGAACTCCACTTGACCAGACCTTTAAAATGATGTGCATATCAACATATGCTTACATTAAAGATTATGTACCTACTCCTCGTAGGCCGTCCCCTGGTAGAGGTAAAAAAATGATAATGCTTGGAAAAAGTAGTTTTCATACATGTAAGTTGATGTGAAAGGTTTGAATTTTCTAACGGATTTATTTAAAAAGATATTAAACCGTTTCCAGACTTGTTTGTCACCCTGTATATATTTTATATATATTTTAAAAAAATATACATTTTTTAAGATAATTTGGCTTATAAATTAAAAAATTAAAATCATTTTATAAAAATGTGAGATCACATAAATTATAAATAGCATGCAAATTTCGATGGGTGAAACCAATTTAATATTGTGCAAGTAGCAAATATCCCCTGTCAGCTAGTGGAACTTGTATGGCTTTTGTGTACCAAAGCCTGACATTGATATAATTTTAATTCCAAAACCCCTAACGCCCCAATTTTTTCATGAAATTGTCAACAAAGGTTTAATTGATAAAAATAATGAGCCTAATCATTAATACTATTTAAGAAATTTAGCGAAATGACAAAAAACTAAACTAACTTTCTTAACAATTTCATTAAGGGAATCGACTAAATGTGATGTGTACGGACAGGGTCGCTTTCAAACCACCACCATTCCGCAAGTATGGGCTAAATTTAACTGATTTTTTTGTAAACAAATCAAGAATAAACATATGTTCTTCTAACAATGCAATCATGTGTAAATATTTTTAAGAGACCACATTATAATGTTAAGAAACTCAAACTGTCAGCTTCTGGAGCACTGTCAGCTACTGGTGCATTTACCTTAAATAATTTGAACTGTTTTAAATGATAAAAAGAACACTTTTAAATATCGGTATCCGTCATCTTGGACTCTATATCCATATTAAGCTTATTTATGTGGGGTTCAGCCAGTGGGATGGCTTGGGTAGAAGTTTACAGCAATAGTGAGTTTAATAGAGAATACATACATCAACTGTATTGCTTCTTTGTATAGAGGAGGAAAACATGGATTTTTTTTTCTTTTATTTTTTTTAAATATGGACATATTATTGAAAGACTAAATTTGTTACGATTGACATAACAAATCATGACTTCAAACTCATAAACAATACCCACATCTAAGGATTTAAATTCTGAATTAGCCTTGGCTATATCTAAAAGCAGGTAAAAGTGATCACAAATAAATGGTCCTTTCACTTTTAGGTGGTTTAATTGTAGGTTTAAGTTGTGTATATTTTAACTTTTTGGATTTGAACTTTTAAGCCTATGTTTTTGCCAGTAGGGTTCAGTATGCCACTGTCGTGCTTTTCGTGGTGTCAGTCAACTGAAGAAAAGGCAATTCGGGAAATTGATTTATCAAATTCTGCTCTTCATGATGTCCCACCCTCAATTTTTCTTCATGAACGTACTCTTGATACTCTCCATCTGAGTTCTAATAGGGTAAGTGCTATCATTCAAGTGTAGGTATTAATATTTTCAGTTTCTTGTGAGAAAGGACACTTTATGGCTTTGAGAGAAGGCAACTTAATCATCTAAAATCAATTAAAATCAACAAACTGTATCTTTGATTTTCCCGATTTGTGCTTTTGTTCTCTTGATCGGTCCTATAGACAGAAAATGGTGTTCAAGAACTTGGCTCCATTCACACTCCTAGCAGAGGTTTGTTCCCTAACACTCACGGGATACACATTCCATTGGAAAGATCTCTGTTTTAGCCACAGCTCTTTCTTGCTTTGAGATGCATGGTCTCACAACACTAGCCCACAAACACAATACAGAAACATCACAACATTTCAAGTTTCATAACATATTATTAACTTTGAATTTGTGTTTTGCAGATTCGCGACCTTCCATTGCCTCTATTTTACTGCCAGAGTATTCAATATTTGAATCTCAGCGACAATGACATCGCTCACTTACCAACTGCCATAGGATCTCTTGTTCACCTGAAAAATCTAGATCTGAGTAGAAATTGTAAGTAATGTTTTGTTATAAACACTGTTGTCCCTCGATAATCTGACGGGTAAGGGACCAGGATGTTGTCGGATTGAAAAGAATGTGGGGTTGATATCAAGATTGGTTTTTTTCTCAACGAATTTGATCAAGATAACATTTGGCCATTATTTTTAATTTTTATTATTGAGCATTTGGCACAGCTTAAAAACAAAATGCTGTCAGCAAAAAGTACTGAAATCAGAGTTTAGTGCTGTTATAATTGGATTCCTATCTGTTACATATTCAGTGAACGTATTGAACTTAAATAATAACATTCTTTAATGTAAAGGAAATATTTAATTTATTTTTCAATATTCAAACTCAACCCGCCAACATTCATTCCAAAGAAGCAAAGTCCTTGGCCTCAGTGCATCAGTCTCCATTCTTCTCGTTATCGGTAAGCTGACCGCCGGAAAACCCCTCAGTCTATTCAAACTTGTCAGTCAACAACATGATCTCGGCCAGCTAAATGGTTTTGTACCGGCCACCTCTCATTCTTCAATTAATCATTTAATAGTTTTTTTTACAGTTTAACCCCCGTGTATCGTTTTAATAAACAAGTTTTTCCCCAGTTTTATTTTATTATTTCATGTGCCAAACATTGTAAAAAGCCTAATGAGTTACAAAATACTATTAAAGTCAGTGCCAAATGTGGGTCGGTCCACAAACGTTCTACCGCGTCTTCCTCGTAAATTGGCCACAAACTCCCATAAACTAAAGTGGGATACGTACATTCCGATGTCAAGAAAGAAAACATCGCGTCGCTCCAGCCCAAAAGCGTGAACGTGATGTGTGCTCAGACTTAGTTTCGCCTTCGCCATTTTCCACGACCGGATGGTAACCTTCAGGTATCTTGTCATTTCAGGATTGATACACAAATCAATATTTATTTAACTTACTAAATTTTGTCTACGGGACTGTACCTTCAAGCTGAACTTTCAATAAAATAAATTCACTTTAATCTCATAGCCAACACTATTCAGGTCTAGGAGATCGGTTGTTACTGCTGCTGTTTCATTTATAGAGTCAGTAATTGACCGTGTTGATAAAGGTGAAAATATAATTGGCATATTCATGGACCTATCTAAAGCTTTTGATAGTGTCAAACACGCTTTACTTTTGAAAAAAAAAAAATAGAAACTATTGGAGTACAGTAGAACCTCTTTAATCCGAACCCCCGTAATCCGAACGTCCACTAATCCGAACCCCTCATTGCTGTACTCTATACACAGTACAGCAGTTATTTATTGTATACTGTATTTAATGTACTGTACTGTTTATTCACAATGTTTACTACTTTATAAAATAAACACTGTATTTTAATTATAAAACAATTTTTTCACTTTTACCAAAATAATGTTGATCCATTTTAGCCATGTTTTAGCTATTGTTATGTAAAAACAACAATATGTTCTGTAATCCGAACTATTCACTAGTCCGAACCACCCCTGGTCCCAATTAGTTCGGATTAAAGAGGTTCCACTGTATTAAATAATTCATTGCAATGGTTTAATTCATATCTAACAAATAGAACTCAATATGTGGAAATCACACATCGAAAAAACAATAAAATCATTACCGTAAGACAGCATCAGATTGAAAGACAATAAAATATGGGTCTATTCTTTAGTATCAATAAAATATGGGTCCGCAAGGGTCTATTCTTGGTCCATTGCTTTTCCTGTGCTATAAGGATAAGAATAAGAATGCTTTATTGCCGTTACACAGGTGTACATGCATGGCACAGTCAAGGAAATGTCTTAGAACTAAAGTTTTAACTTAGGTTTAATTTAACATCATTTATGAAGTCTATTTCTCTATATGGACACAGGTTTAACAGGTAGTTTTTAAGTACTATTTTAAATTTAGAACAATTAAAACATCTTGTTCTATAAGGTAACATATTATAATACTGTTTGGACTTTACAATAAAACTAGTAGCTGTGGTGCTGTATCGACACTGTCTAGATATAAAATTGCAACGGTTTCGTGTGTTGTAACTGTGTACATATTCATGTGTGTCTGTTTTACTAAAACTATTTTTTACAAAAAAAGGCCAAAAGGGCAAAAAGTCTAAAATATACATTGCTTGTACAGTGTGCCGTGCGCGTCTTTTTTATATATATAAACTCAGCGCGCGAGCAACAACTTACTGGCCGAAGCGTATCAGCGGTCAACGGCAATAGAACATAAAACAACGAGCTTACCAAAAATTTCTCTCGTTCGCCTTGGCTCTTGGACATCGCCGGAATCTTTTGCTGCCAGCTCCAAATTAAACATAAGTATTTAGTATCTAAGTAATTTGCATTAATTATCAGGGAAGCCAATTATAATTATGAAATAGTTTAAGTTCAGTTAGGGGTTGCCGGGGAGAAACCAGGGGGCTTTAGGATGTAGGGTTTCTAATTTAAAATGCCGGTCTTCTCCTTAAGGCTAGGGCCACACTTGGCGACCGCGGCGACCACGAATGAAAGTGCGTAGCATTAAATTAAATGGAGGCGGCCACACTAAGTGACTCGCGACCACCGACCACCGGCGACAGAAAAATAAACGCGACCGGGAGCGTTTTTTGGTTAGGGCGACAAATATGCTGCCCATGTTATCTTACGGCACCGGCCATACTAGGCGAGAAGTCGCTCGCTCACACACCCTTTACTGCTCTATTTTCATATCCATATTGTTCAGTTTTGGATTGACATTGTTAAATATGGAAAATATGCTTTTAAAATACAAATATTTTCATCGACAAAATAGGTGGCTAAATGTCAACATGTGTCCTGTAGCATGTATGACATTTAACTCTTCTGGTATAACAAGAATCCAAAACCTAGTGTATTTTTCAAATGTCGTGCGTCGTCTTCAATGTCATTAGATTGCCAAAGTTATGCTCATCTGCTCATCCGAAAATACTACAAAAAAGTTACAATATTAAAATACGCCATCCATAAACAATGTAATTTCAGAGAATTCACTCCATACCTTTGGTTTCTCTTCCTTTTAGCAAATTTTCCATTTAGGGAATATTTACCTTAGGTTGCATGGTAAGACCTAAACCCGGGACCAATTTAATTGTTCGTTTTGAGTTCCCCAGAGGCAAAAACACCATCCGTTCAAATTCATATATATATGTACATATGTATCTATATAGATATGCAGTGTATATATTTATGTTTATATAGGTCTATGTGCCCATTAGCGTGATAACTTGAGCAAAAATGATGAGATTTTAATGAAATTTGGTACAAAAATGTGCTCAATTTCATACTAAGCTATCCAAATTTAAATTAACAAGCACACCTCATTAGGTTACCTTATTTGTACCAGCAAACCCTATTCATTTAAATTCATCTTATTTAAATAGGAAATATATCCGACAAGTTTAAGTGAATATGTTAGTGGAAATCTAGCCAAACAAATTTAAATTTGTGAATTCTAGTGACTGAAGTGAGTTCTATTATTTCTTTCATCCATGGAGTAAACAGTTTAATATCTGTAGGTATATTATATTAGTCAATGGTTTATGCAAAATAAGTCTCTAAATTATAATTATTCTAAAAAAAATTATTCATATGAGGAAATAAATATGGGATATAAAAATATTCACCGAAATGTATTACAATCGATAACAATTTTAGGTAGTGACATGTTTGAACTTTTTACATGTGTTTATGGTTGTTAGTTTAGTAGGCCTAGGCTTCAATTAATTAAGACCACAGTCCTTGGGCTGCTTGTTAAAATAATGTGTGAACTGTATCACTTGGGCGGCATGATGGGTTTCTGTTTCTAAAAATACTTAAGTGGTTTTAACATTGTCCTTTTATATTATTAATTTTCAACATTATTGTTATAACATACTCTGCCTATGCCAATCAGATTTTTTTAAAGAGTTTTTTTCAAACATAGGCTAAGTTACATATTGTCGTCTGTTGTTTGTGTTTTCTGTTGGGTGTATTTGTTATTTTTGTTAATGTTGGCTAAAAAATAAAATAGTGAACATTTTTATACAATCATTTCACTTAATGAATAAAACGCAAATATTACTCCCCGTAGTTAGGGTGAAGGAGTTAATTCACTTTATTCCTATCTTTGTGACTGTTATCATTGGCAAACACGAGATCTAGGTTAGGAACTGAGGTAGCCATGGCCATTGGTTAGAGACTAGGCAAGGAAGGAACTTAAATTACTGTCATTATTGAGATATGATCTTTCAAGTGTTATTTTGAATTTAATATTAGGCAACTTAACGTTATCCGGTAAGCTATAAGCTATTTAACTTAACTTAGTTACACTAACTATCAAGTGTAAGGCCGGCCGCACACTTGATACAGCACGGCACGGCAAGGCGAGGCGAGACGTCTTTGCCACGCCTTGCCGTGCCCGATGGAGATTTGAGATGCATACGGCACGGCACGACAAGGCGACTTGAGCACCCACATGGTCGATCCCATGGTTTCAGTAAAGTGAGATACTGTGTGTTGTGAGGTTGTTTGTACATTTTTTGACTCTTTTTACTACACATTTTGTGAGAATGAATGCAGAAGGCGAAGAAGAGGCTGCTGCCATAGCTGCTATATGGTACCTAATGAATGTAATGGATGATCTCCCTAACAGAGAATCGTGGGTGCATCCCATCAACCAAAAAAGGAACTTGAAACCATTCATTGCAGGTTAAGAGCAGAGAGGTTAAGAGCTGCCTTAAGAGCAGATCCGGAAAAATGTCATAATTACTAATCGTTGGAAGCTCACACTGATTTTGACTGGGGCTGTCACTGCGCTGAACGTGGTGTTGTCGCATGCGCACATTGTTTTGCCTCAAGCCTTTTGCCCATGCTTTTTGGTTTTCTCATTTTTGACCCTTCAAACAAAAAATTTTACAATTTCTTTCCAAACCATTTCGTAGAGCTTAAAAAACAAATAATTAAGTATAATGAAGCATTATATTATGCATCTAATAGCTACTGTACGGAGAAAATTCAAAA